AGAAAACCCTATTCGTACAATCAAAAATAAATAAAAGTCTGTTGCTGGACAAAAGAAACCGGAATCAAAAATCCAGGTGTTCACTGAAGGGAAATTGGATGAAATGGGTATTAGAATTTGATATTTTCCTCTGAAACCCTCAGACACCTTGCACACGAAACTAGGGTTCTAAAAACGTCAGCACGAACTGGTTGAAACCGCGTAAGAAACAATAGTCGGCCATAACATAACGATATTGGAGAGAAATTATGATGAATGGGATCTTCGTTTCTCGAGTTCTCAACCAGTATCAACCTGTACGAGACGACGTGAAGCTAGTTTCATCTGCCTCTCTCGCCTGGCAGGCAACTGAAAACTAAGCGATAATAAAATCTGTGAATCTAAGCATGATTATTTAAATTGGTAATTGAGAAGCCTGTACACATGGCAAGAAATTTACTCGTTTAGCCAATATTATTCAGGTGATTTCGAGAGGGCAGTTAAGTTAAGAGGGTTACAATGGCAGCGAATGAAGAAAATAAGAAAAAACACGGAATTTTGGTAAGGAACATCATTGAAAGCGTTCACTCGCAAGACTGTTGGCATGGAATGACTTATTTATTTATGATTTCCATGTCATGCATCCTGTTGTGTTACAACATACAACTTCTTTATTACAACCGTCACAACACAACAAATATCAAGGTCAGTGCCTAGTTTCGGCTCTGCTACATGTTTTGGCTGTTAATAGCCATCATCAGGCAAATACACGGTTAACATATATACACCACTGAACTGCAGTACTAGTAAAATTGGATACAATACTATTAATTATATAAAACACTTGATGTAAAAATACAATACGACTCGTTGTTTACATTCCCTACAGAACGGACAATACTTTGTAAGATGAGGCACCGACTAAATAATTAACATTAATTTACTACATCTACATCACGAGCCTCCTTTACAATTTTATATACAAAAAAATATATATAGAATATTCCAATTTGTCTGTTGAAACGCAACGAAATTACAAAACCAACGACTGATTCGATGATATAAAATATCAATCTAAGAATTTTATTCTTGTTTTATACTATTACTTCTGTTTTATATAATCTGAGTTATTGTATTTTTACGTCAAGTGTTTTATATAATT